TTTGAGAGTCAAACCGTCATGAGGTTAGACACAGGCATTTAGAGTTACAGTTAAATCTCTGATAATCGTGGTCCCCAGAGGATGAAATAAACAAAATATGACCCTGATAGTCTTTAGGAGTCGGAGTTCTCAAATTCCGATAATAGTTGAACTAAAGTGTTTACATGCACTTCAGTTGTCTGGTTTTAATCGGGGTAAGGCGATAATTCAATTTTCTTGAGTGTCATGTAAACATACTGACAGACTTAGTCATGGCTCTCTGAGGATACATCTGTAGGTTTCTTGACCTTAACTGAGTCCAACTGTCATTTAATGAGGATTCACAGAACAAGTTAATTATGAAGAATCATGGTTCCCAGAAGATACAGCTACATCTCCTCGATGTACCGATCTGTCCTCTTCAATATTTTCAACTTTAATCCCAAACTGAAGTTGAGGTAAAGTTTAATTTAATCAACAAAGTTGAGTTAAGAGGCTTTAACCCCAGTAAAAAACTAATGATCATGGTCTCAGAGGATAAATCTGCATCTGTGTATGAGTGATCCTTCAAATGGGTCAATATAGATTTATAAAACATAAAATATATTTGTTGTTTTAATTCCTGTAAAAAAAAACTAGTCCAATGGTTTTTTAAGCCAGCGCTAGTTTCCTTTCTCGACATTGGAAAAACAATCATTGATTATAAACTCGATTATGTTTTTAATTTAATTAAACTGATCAAAATTCAGATATATATGATCCAAAGAGAACTAAAAAGGACAGAGGACGGTTCTCTGAGGGATGCCAAAAGAACTTACAGCTTCTGATGAGGAGTCAAAACAAACAGGTTAGCATGTAGGGGGCACTAGCGGGGCTCTGCTTGGTGATAAGAGATGAATGGATGAATGGAGGTGAACAGGTGGAGGTGAGGTTGTAAATTTGCTGATATATTTGTAAAGTTTAACAGCGCTACAGCGTGTAACTGAAATCTGTGTCTGGAGATCTAAATAAAAGTAACATCTGTAACAACAGCTGTTCGGGTTTTCTGTGTGTGCTTCCTCTAAGTATGTGTGTGTTTATTTGTGTGTGTGTGTGTGTGCGTGTGTGTGTCTAAGAAACAGACGGCTGGGCCATGGTTCAAACATACTCAGTGATTTTATCCAAAAGCACATCAGAAGACTAAAAATGAGCGGCCTCCTCTGAAGTTAAACCCTCCTCTCATCTTAGAGATTAAAGTCTCATTTATGTAAAAGTCCTATATAAATAAAGTTTGTATTATTATTTATGTAAAACACTTTTATCTGTAAGGTGGTAACAGAATGGACTTTTTATTCATATTTGACCCGATTACTGATGTTTTTTTGGGGAGATTTTGTTTCAGTAAAACTTTATTCAGTTCAATCAGTAAATAAGTTTGTCGAGTTACTCTGTCCTGAAGCAAATCTACTTCTAGACTTCTAGAATCAGCATCTCCTCATCCATGGTGTCATCTGGGTGAAATGACGTCTAAAAACCTTTCACTTGTTCATCTCCGCCCGTTTGCATGGTGTGAAATACGATCTGCCTGAAACACGGAGTGTTTTATTTTGAAAAGGAGCCGGAAGTTTTATTTTGCGTCTGTGCCCGACTTCCTTTCCAGCATGGGTTCACCTGTGCCGGCATGCTCTGGCATCTGGAAAAATAGAACTCTAGCGATCAGCTATGGAGTCCGGCGGTCTGCAGAGGAACGGAAAGAAGTCCGTGGAAATTGACACGTTAACTTGAATGGTTACGATAAGCTACGATCGGAGGATATGACCTTTTAGTATACTTCAGGATGCAGTGGAAACTGGGGGTAAAACTCTTTTGGAAAGGACAACTGGACTTAGTTGGGACTTTTCCCCTTTCAACGAAGAACTGGAAAACATAGATGCTGTATCCTCAGTTTTAGACAATATATCCAGGTTTAGGAGCAACATCTATGTCCATCCAGACAAAGAGTTTTGGTTACGATCAGCTGTGATTGGCAGATACGGCCTTTTCATAGCCGTTCTGGATGCAGTGGAAATTGGGGGTGACAGTGGAGTGAGAGGTGGAGTTTAGTCTCTGGTCACATGGACAGCCTGACATGGTGTCATACGGTCTTTAAAGGTCTGAAAACAGAGACCTCCACAGTGAGCGAGTTTTTACACAAGCACCAACATAAATCTTCTTATTGAGGCCGTTACAGAGACGACCGACACGGCGTGTTCAGGCATAAATGAGCCGCAGTTTGAACACAATCTGATCGACCTGACCCTGTTCAGGTGATGTGGACTCCTGCAGGCAAACAAGCCCACCTGTCAGCCCAAATCCAGGTCACAGTGTACCCGTATTCCAGTGACTGATTCACAACAAATGGACGTGGAGGGGGGCGGGTTTTAGCGGCAGAAAGTTTCCATGAATTTCTCAAAGAGCACGCCTGCTTCCAGCTGAACATGAAAAGGAGGAAAAAAACTGGTTTAGAGGTTTATAACTCGACTGTCCAAAACACTGTTTCCTCAGCGTGATTCAACCACTGAGAGCAATTATCTTTGTGCACATGACAGGCGGCACAGAGGAGCGTCTGTTCTTCACCGCAAACAGGATCAGAACTCAGCAGGACGTCCATGTTGACGAGTCGTTTCAACTTTTTGTCATAACTTTGATTCCGGCGCACACGCGGATCACAGAGACTCTTCTGCTTCCTGAGGACTAATCCTCACAACTGACAGAGCTCTGTTCAAGGGTTTGGTTTTCAGCGCCAACACCGCGGCCTCCTCCGTTTAGACCATTTCTGCTGGTGTTGATTCTGCAGCAGGTGAGGGACATGAACGAGTGCAGAGAGTCTGAGTCTGTGAGAGACTGTGTTTAGGAGTAACGTTGAAGGATTTTATGATCATGAGCTCTTTCTTTATCAGATCTGCTTATCTCCATGTCCTCACATATCTGTGTGTGTGTGTGTGTGTGTGTGTGTGTGTGTGTGTGTGTGTGTGTGTGTGTGTGTGTGTGTGTGTGTGTGTGTTTGTGTTTGTGTTTGTGTGAGGCAGGTTTTAACCAGCGTATCATCATCCTTATCATCCTCATCCTCTTTCTCATCATCCTCTTCCTCAGTATCAGTAGCTTTTCCTCTGGCTGCAGCTCAACAGTAATAAATCACTGGGAACTGATTCAGAGCTGCTGGAGGAAATCTCCACACATGCAGGACAGGAAGAGGAGAGAGAGGTCATCTTCAGAAGGAGGAGGTCTGACTTCATGACGGAGAGGTTTAGGAAGTCACTGTGAAGAAGAAAAGACTTGAAAACACGAAACCAAACCAGGGTGAGGGTCTCTACCTTCAACAGGGCGCTGTTAATCCAAGTACACAGACGTCACAGAGGAAAAGGTTCAAACATTAAAGGTAGAACTGGGCGATAAAACGATAACGATACAGTATATGTCGAAAATTAATTTCCCTCAATATTATTATCATTATAAAACATGGTCAATATCCTTTTCAATAGTCGGCATTCTGCCATGTTTTATTAGACTATGCAAATAGCCAATGAAAAGGGGAGTTTCTGTGGGTCTGCATTGCTCTGAACCAACCATGTGCTGAATTAGAACCAAGTATCAAACAATTGCGTCGTAGCAGACAGCAGCTACACCCAACCATAGCACTTTAACAGGTGAAGCCGACAGCACTGTTGGTGAGAAAAAAAGAAAATGAGTGCTACCCCCGTGTTATGTCCCAGATGGTGGTCTAAGGTAAAGGGACTATACCATTATACTCACAATGACATAGGTGGAAACAGATGTTTTAAAGTGAACTGGAAGGTTCTTTTATTTTTAATAAGGAACTAAAAGGAGCCAAAAAAAAGTGCTTGCCTAGTGATTAGAGAAAGAAAATCTTCCTACACTAAATAACAAAAGAAGTTACAGCACATGGCACTCCCCTCTGTGCTAGTGAGAATAAGAAAACATTGTACCTACGGGCAAGTGTGTATAGGGTACCCCATAACTAAACTAATCCCTCCCCTACAATCAGTTTGGCTGTGACGCAGGATACAGAAGAACCAGAGTTCAGCTTAAGTTTTGGACAAAGCTCTTCGCACAATTGTGTGGACACACAGCAGTGGAGTTGGTGGCAGGCAGGCAAAAAGAGAGCAACGGCTGAACACAGGTGGCTTATATACTGGTGATGACAGGTGATGATTGGTGGACCGGAATGAGTGGAGGGCCAACCAGTGGGAAGGAGGAGTCGGCTGCTGAGAGATGGGGGGAGGGTGAAGGCTGAGTGGAAGGTTGAACCTGGGAATGAGTGACAGACTGAGAGCAGAGTAGAGGGGAGGAAAACAGCCACAAAAAAAAAATGTCCCCCATAGAAATATACGTAACACCCCGACAGAAATGATGATGAAGGCTAAACAGATGACGACATCGTCAACAACACTGGCACGAAAACGTCGGTGGTGTGGAGGTATTTTGTTTTTTTGAGGTCGGGCATGAAGCAGAGTAATGTGTACTGAAAATTATGTTGAGTACATGTTCTCACAAAGTCGGGGAATACCTCAAATCTTTTTCACCATCTGAAGCAGCGCCACGCCACAGAGCACGCACAACGCAAAAGTTTACAAACCCTGAGAGGAGCAAGGAGCCCATAGCGCCTGAAACAGCCAACCATTCAGTGCGCTTTCTGTAGAGCAATGCCTTACGACAAAACGTCAAAGAGACACAAGACCTCACAGACGCAGTAGATTATTGTATTGGAAAAGACATGCGACCAATAAACACTATTGTATTTCATTTTTTATATCCTGATATTTATCGATATTGACTGATATGAAAAGTATATCGTGATAAACTTTTTCCCATATCGCCCAGCCCTAATTAAGGGGATATTTGAAGGTATATTTCAGTGTTTTTGAAGTGTTCATGACAGCTTATCAATCAGTTCACATGATAACGGACGGGCAGTATTCACCTGTATGACTTTCATGCACTCATCACCTCCTCATGTTATATCAGCCATCTTTCCTTGTCTCCTATCCTTTTTCTTTCCTTTGTCTTCTTTTGCTCCTCTCTCCTCCTCCTCCTCTCTCCTCCTCTACTCTCTCCTTCTCCTCTCTCCTCCTTCTCTTTCCTCCTCTCCTCCTTCTCTCTCTTCTCCTCTCTCCTCTCCTAACCTCCTCTCTCTTCCTCTCTCCTCCTCCTCTCTCATTCTCTCCTCCTCTCTCCTCCCCTAACCTCCTCTCTCCTCTTTTCTCCTCCTCCTCCTCCACCTCTCCTCCTTCTCTCTCTACTCCTTTCTCCTCCACCTCCTCTCTCTTCCACTCTCCTCGTCTCTCCTCTTCCTCTCTCATTCTCTTCTCCTCTCTCCTCCCCTAACCTCCTCTCTCCTCCTCCTCGTCATAGGTCAGCAGGTCAGCAGTGAGTAAGGTTGGATTCTAACTGTGTGGGACATTTATTGTAATGATTAATGTCAGCTGGGCTCGCAGGGACAGACTTACTGCTCCACCTTGTTTCCATCAGAGAGAGAGAGAGTGAGAGAGAGAGAGACCAAATTATCAGCCACCAGATGATGTCAGGTAGGAGCAGGCCAGGCAGGGATGTGTGGGGGGGTGCAGGCAGACAGAGGGGGGTGTCTGAGAGTCTGAGAGGTGTGTTAATGAGGACTGACACACCTGACAAACTACCCCACCTACACAACCACACACTCACACTCACACTCACACTCACACTCACACTCACACACTGACACACTCAGAATAATAAAGTTTGAATCTGTGTGAAAGTGGAGTCAGAACCAGTAAAGACCTGAGCCCTGAGTCAGGCTGTGACTCAGAGGCCTTTTAGCCCGTTAGCCTTTAGCGTTCTCACATTTAAACGTGTTTATTTTAGGATTTTAAATCCGGTCTGTGTGTGTGTGTGTGTGTGTGTGTGTGTGTGTGTGTGTGTGTGTGTCGTCGGATAATTCGACTGTGTGTACGGGACAAAGAAGTTTTTAAAAGTGTGTCAAACAGATCAATGGTTTTCAGATCAATTAAAGAATTTATTTAATTAAAACATCAGAGACATTTCAACTGTTGTCAGAATGTGGTTAGCGATCATATGAAGGTCTTCCCTGAGAAACTCATTGGGCTCTATTTTGGTGCTTCGCCGGAGATCTGCCGCAAGCGCAGCGTCAATCAGATCCGCCGCGCTGACAAGGCGTTCCCAAGCACATTTTGGTATTTTGGTGGGCCGCGCAGCCCGGCGTAAGTATCCCCCCTCCCTAACTCAGCTCCTCCCAGCAGCATACGTCGTGGGGGGAAGGACAGTGGGTGTGAAGTGGGTTTAACACAGCCGAGTCCAATTTGCGCCAATCAAATAACCGCCTCTCCTCGCCTTTAAATCCGCCGTCGGCGAGGCGCATTGGCATTTTCGTGCAGCAGACTCACAGATGGCCGAGATGGAAACGAGTGCGAGACAGCCGAACTTCTCTCAGGAGGAAACTGATGCTCTGGTCCGGGAGGTCCAGTCTCGCAGTGGCCGGATATACGGTCACGCGAACAGACCTCCACGGGTCGATGATGCGAAAGCAGCCTGGGAAGAGGTAAGTGCTGCTGTCAATCAAGTTTGCCCGGACGTGCTGAGAACCGCTGCGCAATGCAAAAAGCGGTTCAATGATGTTAGACGACGGGCTAAACTTAAATTATCCCAACACCGTCGCCAGACTGCAACGACCGGAGGCGGCCCCTCAACGAGTGTGGTGCTGAGCCCTGCGGAGGACGTGGCGTCCTCCACACTCCCCAAAATTAGTATCGAGGGGTTTGGTGTCTCTGAGGTTGGACTCACGGGTAAGACAAACATTCTTTTCCACAAATAAAGACACTAACATGTATATTTAACCACGTGTTACTAAGGTGTGTTGTGTGCACAGGTGATCTGAAAAAATGCCATGCGTAATGGGATTGAAATCGGAACCACCTGTGCGTAAAGACGGATCAAACAAAGCCTGATTGTATTTTCTCCCCCTTTCCGCTAATGTTTGCATCTGAAATGAACTTTGCTCACACAATTTCTAACTTCTTTATTCTAAATGAAAGTATTAACATTTTTAAAAAAAGAATTTCTGTGATTTACTAAAATAAAATTTCTGGTCAGCCTCGGCAGAATTGCCGCCGTCGCGGCAGCAGCACACCACAAGGGAGGAGGAGGAGGAGGAGGAGGAGGAAGAACAGCAGCAGCAGGTGGTCGGGGGGGAGGAGAAGGAGGGAGAGGACGAAGACGACCGCGAGGAGGAGGACCAGGGGGAGCCGGAGCCGGTGCCGGAGACGCGGGAGGGGGCAGGACGTGGAGACGAGCCGGCAACACGGGGTCGGAGACGAAACCGCGTTCAGCGGGAGGACCAGCCCTTCCTGGACACCCAGTGGGCTGGTTTTCTGATGTTAGAGAGGGAGCTGGGGTCGATGGGGACGCGGCTTGGGTCGCTGGAGGCCCAGGTGAAGGCTCTCCAGGAGGTCCTCCAGGCCAGCCTGCTCCCCTTAGCCGCTGGCGTTGCGACACTGCAGCGGCTGGTCCAGGTAGCCGAAAGGCTGCTGCCACCAGCAGAATCATCCGCCCCCGCCTGTCCCAGGTGGCCGCTGAGGCCGCGCACAAGAGGGGGGCGGCCCCCTGGGTTGACTGACCGACTGCAGCGTCCAGACCCAAGAGGAGGAGGAGGAGGAGGAGGAGGAGGAAGAAGAAGAAGAGGGGGGGTTGGGAGGGGAGAAACACAATAAAAACACTTGTTAATGCAATCATGTTTGACTATTTATTGGATGTTTTAATGTGGATAATTACAAAAGTGTATAAATGAATGAAAGCAAATACTCACACTTAAGGGCAGAGCTGTGCTGCGAGGCGGTACCTCCTCACCTGCGCGCTCTGCTGCTCTCCCTGCTGACATGGCACATGCAATTCGGCCTCTCTCTGTCTAAAGTCCAGTAATGTGTCCTCGGCGAGGTCGTAGTGGCATCCATGGCGTATAGCTATGTTGTGTAAAACACAACATGCCACAAAGAATGCACCGACACTCTGCGGGCTGTATGTTAATGAACCACCTGACCGGTCCAGACATCTGAAACGCATTTTGAGGATTCCAAAAGTACGTTCAATGACTGACCTAGCACTGCTGAAGACACTGTTAAAAACACGTTGCTGTCTTGTTGAAGGTGTAATGTATGGCGTCATCAACCACGTTTTCAGTGGATAGCCGTTATCACCTAGCAGCCACCCATCCAGAGGGGTGTCCCCCTGAAAGACTGTAGGGATGATAGAATTCGCCAGGATGAATGAATCATGTGCAGACCCGGGGTAATTAGCGTACACGTTTGTCACCAGGCAATTTGAGTCACAAATCACCTGGATATTAATGGAGTGGACTCCCTTACGATTCACATAAATGAGGGCTTGGGTCTCTGGTGCGCGCAACTGCACATGTGTGCAGTCAATTGCTCCAAGGACCCCAGGGAATCCATATTTCAACAAGAACCCTCGCTTCGTTTCCAGCTGGCTTGCAGGTGATGATGGGAAAATGATGTGCTCATTTGCGTGTCGGACTAGACTGGTGGACACTGCATGTATGGCCAAACTGACAGCGGCCTGACTTATCCCTACCACCGAAGCCACGGTATGCTGGAAAGACCCGGTGGCGAAGAAAGTCAGAGCCGCTGTCACCCTCACAGCAACTGGGAGAGCGCATGGGCCACCGGGGTCCGCATCTGAGGCCACAATCCGTGTGATCGCGTGGACCACCTCACGAGGCAGGTGTAATTTGGTCCTGTGTCAAGGAAAATAGTAGATTGTTAAAAGGCAGTTGTATTGAACACGGTGTTGGAGGCGTTATCCATGTGGCCCACCTGCATTCCTGCTCTGTTAAGGTTAAATATGATGCCCTGTGATGAATCACCCTCTCTCTGTAATTTCTCCTCCTCCTCCTCCACCTCCTTGCAATTATGTACTCCATCTTTGTAGATAATGTTAAGCATGGAAATTATTAAATTTGTAGCTGTGAGATCACATGCTGCATGTAAATCTTGAGAACAACGGTCATAACTTACTTTGCTTCAGTGTGCGTTGATTCTTTTCTCAGTGTTCTGAGATGACATGCCAAATATATACTCTCTCTGTGATGACGAAGCTGTTTGTGGTTGGTAGAGAGACGTGAAGTAGTTAGTTTGCATCAGAGTTTCAGCTGTGTTAGTCGGTCAGGTGGAGTGGCAATTAGGCGTGCCAAACGCGCTCCTATAGATATACATCAAAATGTACTGTAGATCTAAATGTATGTGCTGCATATATTTAAATCCCATATGACAAAGATGAGTTGTGCGCACAGATCACACCATAAATTCCAAAAATGGCATTAAAATTGGAACCATCTGTGCGTAAATGACGCATCGCGCTCCGTGGCCTGGCTCTTTCTTTCATAGATGTTGGCATATAAAATAAATTTGGCTCACAAAACTGAATATTATAATATCCGTATGTCGGCTTAAAGTAGATCACGCATCTGAGCACTGAAACAAATCATCTGTTCAGTCGCAGCAGCAGCAAGACGGACAGAGGACACGGAGACGTGTCCAGGTCGAGCTGCGCGAGAAATAAGAGGAAGAGGAAGAAAGAAAAGGAGGGAGACGAATTACATATCTTGTTAACTTCATCATGTGTGTTTATTTACTAGATATTTAATTTAATTTGATGCGGTTTCAGCTGTGTTGATTCGGTCAGGTTGTGTGTCCAAACGCGTGCCAAACGCGCTCATCAGATCAGATATAGATCAGAATATATCTATATAGATCTAAATATATGTGCTGACTCAGATTAATAGTTGATGATGATTACTTATTGCACTGAAATGTGCCTGACACTGTGGAAACCTGCCGGTGAGGCATCAGTGACGTATGCCGATACGCCGCCGGTCTACCAAAATACTACAAGACCAGCTGCGTTCCGCCTTGCGCTGAAAGCTGACCAGGTTTGAATCGGCGAGCTTTCAGCGCACTTTACACGCCGTTGGCGAGCACGAAAATGTCACTGCGCCAGCTGATTCTGTCAACACCTCCCCCTGCCACACCACCACGCCCAGCTTGGCGGATCTCGGCTCGCCTCCGTGCGGCTCATGCCACGAAAATACCAAATTGGCCTTACGCTGGGCTCCGCCAGACGAAAATACAACTGCGCGGGGCTCGCCACCCTCCGCCGCCTCACCGGCGCGAACGAAAATAGAGCCCATAGTCTGGATGGACACAGATGTTGCTCTACACCAGGAGATATTGTCTAAAACTGAGGACACAGCATCTATGATTTCCAATGATTTCCAATTCTTCACTCTTTCCAAAAGAGTGTTTCCCACAATTTCCACCACATCCAGAATGTCTACGAAAAGGTCATATCCTCCGATCGTAGCTGATCGTAACCATTCAAGTTAACATGTCAGTTTCCACCGGCTTCTTTCCGTTCCTCTGCGGATCACCAGACTCCACAGCTGATTGCACAAATCTGGATCTGGTAGGAAATGGCGTACGGCGAAAAATTGCAGCCGTTACTGAACAGAGCCTGTCTGGATGTGGTGGAAATCCTGGGTAAACGTCGGCCTCCAACACACACACACATGATCAACAAAAGGAGTGTGTGTGTGTGTGTGTGTGTGTGTATTTTATTTTTGCTTTTATCATAGATATTTTTATTGCCGCCCCCACTCCACATTTCACACAACTGCTGGTAGTATGCACACACACATACTAACTGCAGTTGTGAAATGTGGAGTGGGGGCAGCAATAAAAATATCTTTGATAAAAGCAAAAATAAAATACACACACACACACACACACACACACACACCCTTGCTTACAGATTCATAAAGACGACCTTCCTGCAGCCTCGTTCTGCCGCTGGTGTGACGAGTGGTACGTCAGCTGAAATAAGAGAACGACTGACTGCTTTGGCCGCTCTGTGTGTGTGTGTGTGTGTGTGTGTGTGTGTGTGTGTGTGTGTGTGTGTGTGTGTGTGTGTGTGTGTGTGTGTGTGTGTGTGTGAACTGTCACTGTGATTGCTGCTGACAGCCTCAGAGTGCTTTCATGGCCCTGTCACATCTCTGAACACGGCTTCATGCAGTAAAATATCTTCCAGTCTGCTTCATATTTCTGCCTCCTGATCACCAGCGTGTGTTTGGACTCTCCGCTGGATTCTGCTTTTTCTTCCTCAGGTGTGTGTGTGTGTGTGTGTGTGGTTTAATGTTTAGGAGTATTTTCACCTCCCACTGCCTCCGTCCTGTTGTGATGCTATTTCAGAACTTTTATTCCTCCTTTCCTCTTCCTCCTCCTCCTCACTTTCTCCCCTTTGACAGCTGACACGTGTTTTTTCACCCAGACCATTTTTCTCAAAGGTAGAAACAAACTCAACGATTCACCTGTAAGAGTCCAGCCTTGAGTTTTTGAAGTTCACGATAATCCTGGCCTGAAGCTAAGTGGACCCTCTTCTCTTTAAAACTGAGAATGCAGCAGCTATGATTTCTAATTCTTCATTGAAAGGACAACTGGACTTACTTTAGACGGCTAAAACCCACAATATTTGGCACAGCATATCAATTAAGTGCAGCTCAGCACGAGCAGCAGCAGAAGTTGTATGTCGTTACAGAGTAAAATATCCAATTGATTTTCAAAATAAAATTAAGTAAATACATTGAACTGTTCTTCACGTGAAAATAGGAGAGGCCAGGGTTGTGGGTTGTGGGTGTTTATATACACCGCTGTTTATACACACTGATCGGCGGACCTCATTCAATGTCTCTTAGGAGACACGTGAGAACTTGTGAGATCTTGTTGTGAGAAATGTCTGTAATCTCGCTAGTGCTTCTTTTGCGGCAGCGGCGGATCCAGTGGGCGCTACATGCTTGGGTATTTGATCTGCCTGCCGGTCCAGAGTGGAGCGTAGCGAGCCGTTTTGGATCCCCTGGAATCCCCAGGTAAGGCGAAACATCTAAAGTAAGTCCAGTTGTCCTTCCCATGCGGTGATTTCCACTCCAGGGTCCAGTCTGCTTTTCAATGCAGACATTCAACTCAGAGTTTGGAGGATGATTCGATAGTGTTTTTTTTTTTTTTTTTTAGTATTTTTGGTCTTTTTTTTCCAGAGGTTTAAAATGTGAACTCTGTGGTTTTTTCCTTATGAATGTTTGATGATGATGCTTTTGCGTTTTTGCAGCTGTGTTTGCATGGTTCATATTATTCTGACGGCTTTAAAACCCAAACAGGACAGACTGCGTTTAATTATTTTCAAGTCTTTAGCATCAGCTGATGAGAGTGCCTCACTGTGGTGGTTAAGAAAGCTGCATATTCTCCGTTCACAGCTGCAGCCCCACTCTCCTGATTCCTAATCCAATATTTCCCTACATGCACCTCTCATTGCTTTCATAATAGCGCTCCTTCACGCACACTTGTTGCTATAGCGACAGGCAGAAACCCTTTAGTCGCACACATTACCATTGCATACACTTCAAACATGCAGATCTGGTCATTTCTGCTCTTCATGGTCAGAGTCAAAGATCCTCCTCTCTCTTTAAAACTGAGATTATTTTAGACGCACAGCTCCAGTTGCAGGACGTTTTTTTTGGACGGGTGTCAGGTCTCCATTCACCGGACTCCTCATGGACTTGTAGGTGCAGAAACGTGATCAGTGATGAGGTGTCTCGAAGGTCGGATCCTCCAACTCTGGCCTCCGTCATCCTGTTTTCCTTGGAGCTGGAATAAGTAACCTTTTTAAGATGAAAGTTTAGAGGTTGAGAGGAGCAAAGACACATCATATGTTGAGCTATCAACCGAGGTCAGAACATCCATAATTCAGTGTAACTGCTGAGATGTTGGTTTAGAGAGGCTTTGAACAAACCCAAAAAAATAGAGAAGGAGAACTGAGAGATGAACCTGGAGAGAGAGCAGAGGACCAACGGTTTCTCGGTCACAGATAAGTCCAGTCTGTCCGAGTCTTCTTTTGCAAAATTACACACCAGACTTTGTTATAAAAGGAGACCGTGAGGACACCTTGAGCAGGTTACTGTTACACGCAGACAGGACTCAGTAGTTGGAGTCTCCGCATGGGCTTAATATCACTTGTCTGTGAACTGTCTTGTGGTCTGATGGATCAAAATCTAGCCCCCAATTTTCACCGCATCCGGAACGGCGGCGATTTTTCCCCTTCGCTAATTCCGACAGGATCCCTTGAAATTTCGTGGCGGATTATGGACAGCGGTAATCACGAGAACTCACAAGAACCAGCGGATTTACGTTCAATTGCACGATAAGTTGTCTCAATAAAGACAGACACATAGACAGGAGCAAGCAGTAGCTTGTGTCCTTCCAGAGGAGGAAATCTGCTTCTAGACTTCTAGAATCAGCATCTCCTCATCCACGGTGTCATCAGGATGAAATGACGTTTAAAAACCTTTCATTTGTTCGTCTCCGCCTGTTTGCATCCGAAGCAGAATGGAAAGAAGTCGGTGGAAATTGACACGTTTGTCACTCTGTGCTGTAGGGGTGTGACGATACACTCAGTTCACGAGATGAGACGAGACACGATATTGGGTTCACGAGAACGAGACGAGACGAGATTTTAAGAAAACTACAATGACATACTATATGACTGGACCAACAGACTTTTATTTAACACATGCATTTTGAAATGTTTCCTTTAAACTCTTTACATGCATGATGTAAGCATGAGCTTTTAATCAACTTCTTCTACAAATTGAAACTAAAACTAAAATGTATAAGTTAAAATAAAATATTTCTTTTTTTCAAGTGCAAACAAAATAATGTGCAAAACCAAATCAAACTTCTACTCTGTCAATACAGAGTGCAAACAATGCAAACAGAACCTGACCAAGTATGTCACTGACAACTTGCTGCAACTACACAGCCATGTTCTTTTTTAAGAATATTAGCATGTCCACATTCTCTGGCAGCAGTTGGGATCTTTGCGCATTGATTTTGTCTCCTGCTGTTGAAAAGACGCGCTCACTTGGAACTGAGGTAGCAGGGACAGAAAGGCACGCTTTGGCAAGGCGAGACAGCAAAGGATATTGGGAGCAGTGTTCTTGCCACCACTTCAGAGGGCAGCCACTGAGAGGGATAGAGGCCTCTTTTCTGTAGTTTTCAACTTCCCTCTCAGCCTGTTTTGAACTGTTGGACTCCTCTGGCTCTGGCTGTTGGACTCAAGTGCTGTCTTTTTGGGAGCAGGTTCTGCAACTTCAGGCTCATCATCTCTCACAGCCTCCTCTCCACCATGTGTGGGACAGTGAGCTCCACCTGCTGCCCCTTCTTCCCTCTCCTCAGCTGTGGTCTTTAAACAGAAGAAACACTGGCATTAAATTTGATAAGCAGCTAAGAGCCCCCCCCCCCCCCCCCCCCCACACACACACACACACACACACACACAAGTGATGCTCTCATGTTTCTAACACACACACTTCATCAATCTCTTAAAAATGTTTAGTTCACAAACATACACAATACACTTTAAAGTGATATATATACCTGTTTTTGCAGGAACTGTTCTGCCTTGTTCTGTACCCTCAGGAAGACGGCCTGACACTGCTCATGGTCTAGCTGAGGTAGAGTCCGGAACCTTGGGTCCAGTACCGTGCACTCCAGCAGATAGTTGAAGGCATCCCCACTGTATCTGTTTGCAATATTCGTGAGGATTGCAGTCTTTGTGTTGGTCACAGTGGTGGAATCTCCATCATTTGGTGTCATGTTCTGTTCAACCATGCTCTTCAGTGGCACAATGAGAGACACTGTGGGACTCTTCTCCTCACACAACACTGTGGTGGCTGTCTTCAAAGGATGCAGCAGCTTCACGAGGTCCTCAGCATCTCTGACATCGCAGCTGTTAAGTGTATCAATGCTTCGGGTGTTTTGTCTTATCTCTGGGCTGGTTAGAGCTGCTGCTATGGCAGCTTGCTGCTCCAGGTAACGAGCCAGCATATCCAACGTGCTGTTCCATCGCGTCGTAACGTCCATGATTAACTTGTGTGATGGCAATTGTAGCTGTTTCTGCTTGGACATCAACACTGCGGTAGCCGTTGAACTCCGGTGAAAAAAAGCAGCCACACGTCTCACCCGCCTGAGCAAACGAGCGACGCGGGGAACACCGAGGCCAGCTTGGGTTGCGAGATTTATAGTGTGCGCAAAACACTTAATGTGCGGCGTTAATCCCGCCTCGCGCACGGCCACGTCCATATTACATGCATTGTCAGTAACAATAGCGATGCCGTGATTGGGTTTTTTAAGCTCCCAGTCAGTAACAGCTGTCTGTAAAACCTCAGCTATGTTTGCCCCTGTGTGGGACTCGAAAAGTGGGCGAGTCTGTAGTACAACACTTTCCATTTTCCAGTCATCGTTGATTGTGTGGGCTGTAATTGTAATGTAGCTTTGGGTACCTCTTGATGTCCAACCGTCTGTTGTTATGGTGATGCTTTCTGCGTCTTTCAGGATCGGTACAACCTTGCTCTTGGACTCTCCATAGAGTTTCGGGATCACTGTGCGGGTAAAATGCGTGCGTGATGGGATGGTGTACTTCGGTTCCAGTGTGTGGATGAGTCGCCGAAATCCTTGATTTTCTACCACAGAAAATGGCCTCATGTCTGCTGCGATGAAAACACCTATGTCTCTTGTTATTGTTGTGGCTCTGGTGCTTGACCGTGGAAGTTGAGGTCCGAATGCGCTTGTCAGCGTTGTCTGGCCTGTTAGTGTTTTCTTCACAGGTGCAGTTGTTGATTTGAGTACCGAGCTGTGGTGGTGCTGTATATGTCTCTGCATCGTGCTCGTATTAGCCGCAGTGTACGGCATTATTTTCATACAATGCCTACAAATTGTCCGTGTCTTATCAGTCACTCTACTGCCATTTATCGTTTCCGCTGGGTACCCAAAATGCTGCCAAACAAACGACTTGAAAGTGGCGGGGTGATCTTCAATGATAATACCGGTGTGTTCCGACATCATTTTGGCTTGTTCCACGCTGTTTCCGTCTCCTTCTCTTTCTCTTTCTTGTTCTCTTTCTCTTTCCCTTTTCCTTCTCCTCGCGAGATCTCGTGGCGCGAGATCTCGTCACACCCCTACTGTGCTGTGTTTCTCAGGCTGACTCTCACTCACCTCCCTGCCACACCTCCTCATCAGTGCTGATTCCCCACAGCTGTGAATGACAAGCTGCAGCTCCTCACTGCTGATTAGCCAGCCAGTATTTAAGCCACTCTGTGTCCCTCATTCAGTGCCATATGTCTTTGCAGCATGCACGACTCTCCAGCATTATTTCTCGGATTGACTTCTCGGTTTCGACTCCTGCCTGTCTCTGACCACGTCTTCTCGTCTCAGCACTTGGATCCCCTGTCAAGTTTCTTCGCTCCTGTGAGAACTTCAGGTTTTGCTGTGTTGCTGGCTTCCCAACCTACTGCCTGTCCACGATTATCTTTCCGTCTGATCCCTCTGGAATTAGTCTGCCCTGCTGATTGTCTGCCTGGATTCGACATTGCCTCCACTTCGACCACGAGCCCAGCCTGCCCCTCGACAGTGCCGCTGCACTTCGCAAAGACTCTCAGGTGTAGTGTGTTTTCCGTGAGCACTCACCTATCTAACTGTTGGACCTGTTTCCTGTGGATCTGTTTCCTGTTGGTCTTGGAGATTCTACAGAGACCGCTAAATTGATCCCAGTATATTCTTTCCTGTTACTTTCTGAAATACCTGTCTGCTGTGAACTGTTGCTATAAAAGTAGCTTCTAAACAACTACCTGGCGTTGTGCTGCACTTGGGTCCTACATCCACACCTGACAACGTTAACTTGAATGGTTATGATCAGCTACGATCGGAGAATGCGACCTTTTGTAGACATTCAGGATGTGGTGGAAACTGGGGGTTAGTCAGGTGTTAATGAGGAGGTGACTAAGTCCAAGACTCAGACCCTCAGATCTGCAGGGAGGAGGTCCAGTTCAGAGGAGGTAGTCTGTGTTCAGAATTGAAGATCTGCTCAGACTGAAAGGTAAAGTGAACTCTGACTCCCTCACATGGACCAGGGTTTTGGTCGTTGGTCTATCTTGAAGAAAATCCTAACAAAGAAAGACTTGAAGGATTCCTCTGATGATCTTCTGGGACCACGAGTCCCTCTGATAGAACTATTGTGGACCTGTTGGATCCTGCGATGTGTTCTGGTCAGTTGGAGGTCGTTCACATGTTCAGATCCTATAGGAGCATCTTTAATTCATAGAGCCGCTCTGCTCTCCTAGAAGCTGCACGTGTCTGAGGAGAAGAAGAGGTCTGTTCATATGAGCGGACTTCCTCTCCTCCTCCAGCTGCTGATTGATCAGAACCCTGAACGTGTGGACCAGACTAATCCAATACCTCCTCTCTGTATCGATACCGACTCCTCGGTCCGTCGCCCCGATCGTTACTCAGAGGAAAGGTTTGTGGCTCAAGGGGGCTGAGGGGGCACTTCTTCAAGCAGCTGAGTGAATGAGGTGGAGTCCTGTCTGCACCTTCAGGTCATCAGATGAGGATCTGGAGAATGGAAACCATAATCCCGTGTATGATTCTCAGTGAGTGACACTTTTCATCGGACACATTTGGAAATATTGATTAGTGCGGCTGAGAGCATCGACAGGAGAGAAGAAAGAGTCACAACATGAAGTCTGGTGGATCTGGGTCTCCTCCTCTCACAGATATCAGGAACACAGACCCACTATTTATAGTTGTGCTCTTATCAAGGACTTTCCAAAGAAGCAAGTAAAATTTCTGGGAAAATCATCCTGCAGAGACAAGACAGTTAATGTCCGTGAGCTATTTTCAAACTGGTTTCTTTTTCAGGTCGTAAATTATTGATGATAATATGAGACATGACAGAGAGAGAGAGTGAGAAAGAGAGAGAGTGAGAGAGAAAGAAAGAGAGAAAGAGAGAGACAAAACAGCCCAGAAAGAGAAATCTAAAGAAGCAAACACGCCAACTATCTGCATGTATGAGAAGAACCACAGTTTTTTTTTTTTAAACGTGAAGAATCTGATTTTCATCTGTGATCTATTAAACAAATCCTAAAAACTCAAACTAACAGGCAGTCATCTCTGTCACTTTAATTTTAATCTTTATTTACCTGATCAGCTGATTTATAGAGGTAAACACACGTTTAATTTAAAGTTTTTTTCAGCATGAACCAGTGTGAGTGTTTTTATTCCTCCTTCAGCTCCATCTGTCCCCCTGTACGTCTGTCTCTCCTGTCTTCATTATGTGAAGGAACGACATTTCCTCCTCCCCCTCTCACTTCAGTGAGTATTACATCATAGTAATCTAATAATAATAATAATAATAATAATAATATAAAACATTATGTAATCTTCATCTCGCGCTAAGAAACAAACTCAGTGAAGAGCTCTTCTGGGAGAGACACTCAAGGACAAAGGAAAGAAAAAACATCTTCATCAGACCAGCCTCATGTTTTTTTTTACAGCTGTTTTAAGACACAAGGTAGCAGATTTAGTTCCCTGACTTTAGTTCCCTAGCTTTGGTTCCCTGATTTGGTTCCCAGACTTTGGTTCCCTGACTTTGGTTCCCAGATTTTGGCTTCCAGACTTTGGTTCCCTGACTTTAGTTCCCAGACTTTGGTACCCAGACTTTGATTCCCTGGCTTTGGTTCCCTGACACTGGTTCCCAGATTTTGGCTTCCAGATTTTGGTTCCCTGACTTTGGTTCCCTAGCTTTGGTTCCCTGACTTTGGTTCCGTAGCTTTGGTTCCCTGACTTTGGTTCCCAGATTTTGGCTTCCAGACTTTGGTTCCCTGACTTTGGTTCCCTAGCTTTGGTTCCCTGAGTTTGGTTCCCTAGCTTTGGTTCCCTGACTTTGGTTCCGTAGCTTTGGTTCCCTGACTTTGGTACCCAGACTTTGGTTCTCTAGCTTTGGTTCCCAGACTTTGGTTCTCTAGCTTTGGTTCCCAGACTTTGGTTCTCTAGCTTTGGTTCCCTGACTTTGGTTCCCTAGCTTTGGTTCCCTGACTTTGGTTAGATTTGGCTTCCAGACTTTGGTTCCCTGACTTTGATCCCCTGACTTTGGTACCCAGACTTTGGTTCCCTAGCTTTGGTTCCCTGACTTTGGTTCCCTAGTTTTGGTTCCCTGACTTTGGTTCCTTGACTTTTGTTCCCAGACTTTTGTTTCCTCACTTTGGTTCCTAGATTTATGCTCCCTGTCTACGGTTCACTGATTTGGCTCCCAGACTTTGGTTCCCAGACTTTCTTTGCCTGTCAAGTCAAATATTTTTATTTCTTCATTTCCATCTGCCTTTCATTGTGGCTTCTGTTTTAAATTTCTGTCTCTTTCTTTCTTTCTTTCTTTTCTACTTCTTAAAGTCTTCAGTTTATTTTTTTAATTTTTGTTTGTTTGTTTCTCCAATTTTTGAATTATTTCTTTTTTTTTCTTGACCTCTTTTTGGTTTCTTTTTAAACATATGTGAATTTTTCTTTTCTTCCTTTCATTCTTTCTTTCTCTCTTTTTTCCCTCCTGTTCTTTTTTCTTTATTTTTATTATTTGTGTCTTCTTTATTTCTTTATTTTATTGTCTATATCATCCTTTTTTTTCCTCCTTTTTCTTTCTTCTAATTTTTTTCTTTGGATTTTTTAAATTTTTTGTGGCTTTAACTTTTTCTTTTTTCTTGACTTCTTTTTGATTTCTTTTTCATATATCTTTTTTAATTCTTTCAGACTTTCTTTCCTTTTTTCCCTCCTGTTCTTTTTTCTTTCTTGATTTTTTATTTGTGTCATATTTCTTTCCTACTTTTTCTTTTTCCTGATTTCTTTTTTTTATTTTTTATTCTTTTTTTTGTTTTTTTTTTCTGTTTTTTTATTATATATTTTTAATTAATTAATTAACTACTTTATTTTCTTTTTTTCTTGGTTTTATTTTATTCTTGAATTCACATTTACTCTCTTGATCACTTTATTTTCTTTCTTGATTCCTTACGGGGACAAATTGATAAAATATTACTTTGTAGAATAAACACAGGAGGAACTAAATGCACACAGGTTTATACTCATGGCTAAATTTTAGTCCCTGCTCCAGGTACAAACATAATAACAGAAATAACTGAGTTTAAAATCCTGTAACCATAAAAATAAATGTATACAATCATTCCTAGGACTGTAACAAAAATGGCGGCTACACACTGCGCTCATTTTGGCGTCTGCAGAAGCTGTCAGACACACAAGTTCATCTTTTCAGTTTTCTAATTTAAGGACCAAACTCAGAGTGAAGAAATGATTCCCATTAACACGCAGGATTGTTGTCTAACATTTCAGTGTCAGCCAAATGGAAAAAAAAAAAAAAAAAAAAAAAAAGATTTATTTCCCGGTCTTTAGTGTTTACTCAGAAAGAGGATCTCCTTATGGTTAACGATGACTGAGGTGTCTCTGCAGACGGTGTTTGTATCTGATCATTCAGCCTGTCATCCAGGGGTCCGTTTCACGTAGGTGGTTCAACAAACTCTGAGTCAAATCCTTAACTCTGAGTTGATCTACTCTGAGATAGGAAACTCTGAGTTTCCGGTTTCACAACACCTGTTTTGAGACAGTTTTAGCAACTCCAAGTAGTTTGACCTGGAGTTAAGCACGTGCACGCCAGACATAAACAGCCAGCATCTGTGGAGCCCAGATTCATTGATCAACCAATGGAAACAGGGAGAAGGAGGGGGCAGCAGCAAGCCAACGGCAAATTACAGCACGATTTTAAAAGAAAGTGCAATACAGCAGCAGCTGCAAAGGCGAGGGAGAGGGCATGGGAGGAAATTGCAGCTCGCGTCAATGCGTAACTTTAAATCTAGTCTTGTGCAATCACAATGACAGACTGTTGCAGGGGAAACTGCTTGCATGGAGCAAATTAATTTATTTTATGTAGGTGCAATCAAGCGGGTCAAAAAACGCAATTGGCAGCAGCTGAAAATTAAATATAAAAACATTGTGCAAACAGGTGAGACATCGGCATTTTCTCATTTTGATCATGTTTTACATTGTCAAGTAAGTATTAAGTGGCACTTTGATCCCTTAAAAAATGCTCTTTTCACACTCAAAAATGAATTTTACTCTCTTATGATGTTCTGTTAAATGATTAGGAATATTAAACTAACACAGACTTTCACTCAGCAAACAGAAAGAGGGCAGATGCCAGAAAAACGGGTTTAACGGCCGGTCCGATCGCACACACACACACACACACACACACACACACACACACACACACCGGTCCGACGATCGCTGCTACGGGGGGAATGTGCGATCAGACCGGCCGTGAGGGGGGGGGCAGCTACTCTGCCTCCGTTAAAGGTGGGGCTGCTGGCCCACCACCCGTTTTTCTGGCATCTGCCCTCTTTCTGTTTGCTGAGTGAAAGTCTGTGTTAGTATAATATTCCTAATCATTTAACGGAACATAATAAGAGAGTAAAATTCGTTTTTGAGTGTGAAAAGAGCATTTTTTAAGGGATCAAACCGCCACTTAACACTAACTTGACAATGTAAAACATGATCAAAATGAGAAAATGCCGATGTCTCACCTGAAACTCTGGGTTTACTGAGTTAAAGCTGCTCCCGAGCAGGTTAGGTTCACGGAGTCTGTTACTGTGGTAACTGACCGCGAGGTTGAGTTACCTCTCTTTGTGAAACAGGTTAGAGTTACCCCTCTCTCTCTGGTTTAACTGACCCTCCTTAGTGAAACGGAAAACTCTGAGTTTCCCTGATTTCAGGGTTAAAAGACTCTGAGTTTCCATTAAACCTGCTACGTGAAACGGACCCCAGGTGTACAAATAACCACCATGGTTATAAAGAAAGCGGCTCTGACACCATTAAAACTCACGCGGCGGTTTAAATATGCCTGTGCTTCTTTTCATGTTCAGGTGCAGCGAGCGCCGAGGAGCAGATGCGCTCATTATTGGTGATATGCGAACATGTGATTAAGGATGTTTCTAACATGTACACTCTGATATGACTCATGTTTTCACACAAAGGAACACGGTGAATCTGCATATTTCCATTTTTGTCCAGCGAAGACAAGGGGCCTCATGTATCAACGCTGGCGGCGCCAGAAAACCTTGCGTCCGCCAAGATCGGCGCACACGTCCAGATTTATCATCGCGAAACGATCGTCGGTTCCAGCGCTAATCAACGCAAAGTGAGGAGGTGGTGTAGAAGTTGGCGTTGAGCCGATACTTGCGTTGACGGCACTTTGGGGATGCTGTGTGGCGGTGTTTGGTGACTCACTATGTGACAAGCGTGCACCACATCCCCGTGGCCGAGCAGCACGTCGCCCCACATGACGAACCAGCAGCAGACACAGGGATGCGAGCTGATCCCTGCCGGGCCGCCGTCCTCGCGCGGGAGAATCTCATCGCCACAGTGTGAATGGGTAAGAAGTGAATACACAGTTCAATGAGCCAAATTAATTTATTTTCGCCACCAGACGCTCGAGGACATTTAAGAGCCGGTCCAGCCGCTCGTTGATCCCTGTGATCCCCCTGATGATTTCTTCCTGCGATTGCAGGACCGCCTCCGTGAGGACCCTTCCACTGCGTCCG